CTAGCCTCCCTTCAGCGGCAGCTCACCTCCCTAGCACAGGTCACCCTTCAAAACCGCAGAGCCTTAGACTTACTCACGGCTGAGAAAGGAGGTACCTGTATGTTCCTCAAAGAAGAATGCTGTTTCTATATAAATAAGTCAGGGTTAGTTGAGGAAAGAGTCCAACGCCTACACGAACTAAGCTTAGAAATGAAAAAGCAACAATTCACTACAGCCGCTAACAATTGGTAGAGCCCTTCAATGTTTTCCCTTCTGGCACCCCTTTTAGGCCCCCTAATGTCTTTACTACTTCTATTCACTTTTATTTATAGTAAATAAAATTTTATAATTTGTCAGAGAAAGGTTTGATACCATCCAACTAATGGTCCTCCGTAGCCATCACCAGCCTCTCCTGCACCCAGAAAGTGAGGCTATATTATAAGACTCTGGAAATCCAAGATTGGACATCCAGTTACTTATGAGAAGGGGGAAATGAAAGGACACAAAGATAGATGTGTACCCGCCCCCCACCCGCTACACCCTTGTTCTGCTCTCTAATCTTTGCACATACCAGAGATTTCGTAAGTTCTGTGAGTACCTGGTTTTCTGCACGTACCAGAGATTTTGTTTTGCACATACCAGAGATTTTGTAAGTTCTGAGGCAAGGTCACAAGACGTGTTTAAGTAAGATAAACTCTTGCTGCCATAAACCTGCTCTCCCGCCTCAAAGTTTGAACCAAAATATCAGAAATGGCAGGAACCAATCATAGTTAGCCAAATCGCCTTGTTCAAACACTAGCCAATCATATATCTGATTTGTATAATAACTCTATGCCCACTTTTCTTAGACTATATAACATTGTTCGGAGCTGAGTGGGGGAGCTCTCCTGCCCGTCTCGTTTCACAAGCGAGGGAGAGTTCCAGGTTCGAACCTGTAATAAAGATCCTTGCTGCTTAGCTTTGACTCTGGACTCTGGTGGTCTTCTTCGGGGAATAAACGGTCTAGGCATAACAACCCTACCCCCAACCTTGTCCTTGCAGGAGACACATGCTGTGGTTTAAACTCAAGGTTTAACAGATGTTGGGCTGTGCAGGGTGTGCTTTGTTAAACAAGTGCATGAAGGCAGTATGCTTGTGAAAAGTCATCACCATTCTCTTAATCTCAAGTACCCAGGGACACGTACACTGCCGAAGGTCGTACACTGCCAAAGGTCGCAGGGACCTCTGCCTAGGAAAGCTAGGTATTGTCCAAGGTTTCTCCCCATGTCTGAAATATGGCCTCGTGGGAAGGGAAATACCTGATTGTCCCCCAGCCTGACATCCGTGAAGGGTCTGTGCTGAGGAGGACTAGTGTAAGAGGAAAGAAGGCCTCTTGGCAGTTGAGATAGAGAAAAGCATCTGTCTCCTGCCTGTCCCTGGGCAATGGAACATCTCGGTGTAAAACCTGATTGTACGTTCTGTTTACTGTGAAAGAAGGAAACCACCTTAGGGCGAAAGGTGGGACTTGCTAGCACAATGCTGCTCTTTACGCACTAAAAAGATTTATGGAGATGCCTGCATATGCATATCAAGGCACAGCACTTTTCCTTAAACTTATTCATGTCACAGAGATCTTTATTCATATGTCTTACTGCTGACCTTCTCCCTGCGATGATCCTATTATCCTGCCACTTCCCTTTTTCTAAGATGGTAAAGATAATGATCAATAAATACTGAGGGAACTCAGAGATCGGTGCCGGCGTGGGTCCTCTGTATGCTGAGCACTGGTCCACTGGGCCCACTTTTTCTCTCTCTATACTTTGTCACTGTGTCTCATTTCTTTTCTCAAGTCTCTCGTTCCACCTAATGAGAAACGCCCACAGTTGTGGAGGGGCAGGCCACCCCTTCATTCAAATACACTTTTGCCAATCCAAGACACACAAAGATGCTTTAAGAAAAAGAAACAGGGCCAGGCGCGGTGGCTCACACCTGTAATCCCAGCACTTTGGGAGGCCGGGGCAGGCAGATCATTTGAGGTCAGGAGTTCAAAATCATATAAAAATTAGCCTGGCATGGTGGTGGGTGCCTGTAATCCCAGCTACTTGGGAGGCTGAGGCAGAAGAATCGCTTGAGCCCAGGAAGCAGAGGTTGCAGTGAGCAGAGATCATGCCATTGCGCTCCAGCCTGGGCAACAGAGTGAGACTCCGTTTAAAAAAAAAAAAAAAAAAAAAGGAAAGAAAAGTAAGTAAGTCTGTTAAGTAAATTGTTTAAGAGCTGGGCAAAATGATAGGTTTCAATTTCCCCCAGAATCAGGGCACAGGGATGAAACCCGTGCTCGGGACAGTAGGAGTGGGGGAATTTGGGTGGGAGTCAAAAAGGTTGACCACAGTGCTGAGTCTTGGAGGCTCCACCCATTCCACCCCTGCCTGAGCCTTGGTTGACAGAGGAATGGTTGGGGGGTCAGAGAGGCTGGGGTCTTCCAGGGACAGAAAGGATTTGGGCCTCCGCCCAGAAGAGCTGCCCCTGCAGGGCCAAGGGAGAAAGGTGGGGCAGGGCAGGTCTAAGAAAGGCCCTGGCCACACCCGTCCTGGCCTTCCCTGGCCCTGGGCACGGTGTAAACCGTCCTCCCTGACCCCCAAGTATCTTTAGTGGGATATTCCTTTCTCAAGAATGCAGCGTGGGGCAGGACTTCTCTTCAGGGCTTGGTCAGCAGGCCCTTCCTGCCTCAAGGCTGACTCAGGGCATCAGTTATGCCCACGTCCTAATCCCTGGCACCTGTGAATGTCACTCTATCTGGCAAAGGCACCGTGGAAAGGCAATTGCATGAGGGCTCCTGAGAGGCGGAGTCTGTCCCAATCCTGTGGGCAAGTCCTACTGGGAGGGGGCAGGAGGGGCAGGGAGAAGGCCACGTGAGGATGGAGAGAGAGACTGGAGCGATGGAGGAAGGGGCTATGAGCCACAGCAGATGGGCACCACACCGCCTAGAAATTGCAAAAGGCAAGGCAACAGATTCTCCCCTGAAGCCTCCAGAAGAAGCCAGCCCTGCCAACACCTTGACGTTAGCCCAGTGAGGCCGATTTCAGACTCTGACCTGCGGAACCACGCGAGGATAGAATGTTTATTACTCTGAGCCTCAGTGTGCTCATCTGTTATGGCAGCCATGGAGGCTCCCATGTGGCCGCGTCTCTGCACTGTGGATGCTGCAGGCGGGGCTGGCACAGACTTGGGTTCGAACCCTGGCTCCAGCACTTGCTGGCTGTGGATGACAATGGCTCAGGTCACCTTTCTGCACCTCAGTTTACTGACAGTGAGGTGGGGAAAATAAGCACCGGGCCCCCTAGACTATGGGGATGTCAGATAAGTGAACAGATCCCCCAGTCTCATGGGCTGCTGAGGGAAGGCAATGAGATCCCAATAGTGGAGGGGCCCAGGGAAGTGAGGGTAGAAGGGCCATAGAGGCTTAGGGAGGAGCTGATGCTAGTGTCCCCAAGCATTCTTTCTCCCATCATCTGCAGGAACAGAATTGTCAGCAGGAAGTGGACCCTTGGGAATAAAGACTACATTTCCCAGCATCCTTTGCAGCCAGGTGTGGCATGTGACCACATTTTGGCCAATAGGATATAAGGAAACAGCTGCAGTGCATCCCTGCCCTTCTGCCCCCTCCTGTCTAGGATGTTCCTGGAGCTCCCCTCTCACAGTGAGGTGCAGGCCACACCCTGAGGAGGACAGAGCTGAAGGCTGGAAGGAGCCTGGGTCCCTGAGGACCTGAGGCCACAGAGCCATCACGGGAGCCATGGACTGCCGACCCCTGGACTTTTGCACATTAGAGAAATAAACGTCTCTGGCTGAAGCTACTGTTGATGTGGTTCCCTATCCAGAGGGGCTTAGGAACTAGAGTAGCAGCAGGCGTGCCTGCTGCTCCCATGTCGTCCTGTGGGGCCCTGCATCAGCGTCCAAGATTCCTGACAGCCACCCCCAGGCCTCCAGTGGCAAGGGAAGGGGCAGAGGGTCAGGAGGCCTATAAGCACCCCCAGCCTCAGCCCCAGGGAGCCCCTCTGCCCTCAAGCACAGCTCCTGAGAAAGTGCCACACACTGCAAGCCTGCCATAGCACCCACTCCCTGAACACCCGCAATGGTGGTGATCGACGTCACTGACAGTGGTAAGCATCTGGAAAAAGTGCAACAATAATACGAGTGTACTGGCCCACTGTACCAATGAAGAAACCAGGATTCAGAGAGGCTCCCTTCATCTCTGCCCACCGATAGCCCACACGGTCAGAGCTGTCCCCTCATGATGCCTTTGGCTCCAGTTGTGGGTTTGCGATCAATCCAAAGTCAAGGGCAAGGGCAAGGGAAGGCAGCGAGTGCCCCACCCCCCACTTCCTAAACAGGGACAAGAGAGAGGAACCAGGGGGGAGAAGGGAACCAGAGGGGAGAAGGGCTAATGTTCTTAAATGATCCTATCATTCAGTTTCCAACCTTTCTATAAGCATCTATTATTTCGATAATGAGAAACACTGCCTCCCACCAATCCTCACCCACAGTGCTTTTCACAGTTCTGACTTTTTTCCTGCCTAATGACTGATTCGACCCACACACAGGAGGGCTCAAATCACAGTAGGCTTCTAAGGAACGATTTAATCAGCTTTTGATTCCACTTAGCTCTCACGTCCATGGGCTTTTAAGATCTCCTCGAGCTCCATGAAGTTTGCCTCCTCCTTCCTTCCCTGTCCTTCAGGCCAGCCCAGGCCCCCCTCACGCCCACCTCTGTGGCTGCCCTGGCTGCAACAGGGAAGAAATGACCATGCCAGCAGCAGGCACCTGAGTCACACCTGGGTTCCACAAGGTCCAGACGGCCATCTTTCTCCTTCGATTAGTCTCAAGGAAATGACTGTTAATTAACTTTGCATTTGCTCATTCCCCGTGCAACTCATTATCCCAATTAAACTACCTCTCGTGAAGTCTGGCTCTTTTTGCAGAAAGTTATTTCTAATTATTTCAACTCGAACGTCTGTGGCCCCTTATGCTGCTATTTTTCTTACCCAGAACATCATTTTCGGTTTGGAACCAGCACGCGAGGGGGAAGGAGCGGTGGCTCTGCTGCCAAGCTGTCAGTTAACGCTTTTCCAGGCAAGTCTCTTAACCTGGGAGCCTCGGCTTCTTCTGCGTGATGGGTCCAGGGACGTTGATTGTAGCAACGAAACAAACAGAAGCAGGCCAAGAACAGGGCAGGCATGAAGGTGAGAATGGGAACCAAAGGTTTATGATGAATCTATTCAGGGTACCAAAGTCCAAAATAAAGATAAAATGGGGAGGGAAAAAAAGTAATGCCTGCCCCACAGGGTTATCATATGGCTTAAGTGATTTAAACTGGGTTCTCCACTCCAGGTCTTACAAGGTCTAAATCAAGGTGGTGGCAGGGATGAGCTCTTACCTGGAGGCTCTGGGGGAGAATCCGCTTCCAGGTGCATTCAGGTGGCCCCGAAAGTCCAGCTCCTGGTGGCTGCAGGCCTGGGGTCCTCATTCCATGGCTGGGGGCCACTCCCTGCTCCTATAAGTCACCCACACACCTTCTCACACAACCCCTTCCTCCTTCAAACCAGCAATGTTAATTCCAGACTTTCTCACACCTTCCTCTCTGCTGACAGCTGGAAAAGCTCCCTGCTTTCATTAAGCTCAGGAGGTCAAGCCCACCAGATCATCTCTGATCTCAAAGTCAGATGGCTTGGGACTTTCATTCCTTCGTCAAAGTCCCTGCACAGCAGCATCTAGGCTAGTGTTTAACTGAACAGCCAGGGGTACGAGTCAGTGGGCCCACCTTTAAAATTCTGTCTGCCACGCCCATCATATTCATATCTTTCTAAATTTGCTTCTTTCAAAGTTGAATACAAGGATGAAAATCCATGCCCTCACCGAGGGATCACAGCGATGCAGCTCATGGCAGCAATCACCCGGTGCTGGACACATGTGGGTTCTGTCTTCAGTCCTGACGCAAAATCTGGGATCAGTCAGGAGAAATACACAAGAGTTCTGCCTTCCTTTCACCCACATGACCTTGTGCAAGTCACATCTAACCTGGCTGAGCCCGGTCCCCTCCTCGCCACAGATGGGCTGATCCACAAGAGGACATCTTTGAAGCACCCAGCACACAGCCTGGTACCCCGGCAGTGCTCAGCTGCTATAAGCACCACGCCCACGGTCGACAGGCTGTCAGACCATCTGCACGACCTTTTTTTCTTTTTAAACACCACCCAATCCTTGCTAGGGGCACCACGTGCTGTACAGTCGGCTCTTCCGGCACCCCAAGTCCCTGGCTAGGCCACTCATGCCCATTGCTGGACATGTGCTCAGACGACTGATCCAAGAGTCTTCCATACAGGCAGCTTCACCTCCACGTGAAGATAACTTGCAGTGTGCTGCGGTTCCAGACCTCAGCGAGCTACCTAAGCAGGTAGGTTCCCAAGAGCAGACTGCCTTTGGAGCAGTTCCTGAAGCGGCCACGAGGTGGCAGGCCTTTCCCTGGCGGATCAGAGAAATCCCGCAGTTCGGGATACAGACACACGGCATGGCCTGGCCTCAGCGGAGGTTCACAGTCCCCAAGGTGGCATCCCCACTGGGACGACCTGAGCTTATCTGTCTTGAGGCACAGCAGCTACAATTCTTCATCAGGCTCGGAGCTGCAAGACGCCCATCGGATTCCTTCTGAGCCCCAAAGAGGAAGGAAATGAACATGTTTCTCTTTTAAATCTCACAACAAATAATAAGGTCTCAGTTTTACAGGTGAGCAGATCAAGGTTGAAAGCAATGAAGTTACTTGGTCACAGCCAATAAGAAACATGAGATACTGTTTTGGTTTTGTTTGTTTGTTTTTTGAGATAGAGTCTTGCTGTCATCCAGGCTGGAGTGCAGTGGTGAGATCTCAGCTGACTGCAACCTCCGCCTCCCGGGTTCAAGCGATTCTCCTGCCTCAGCCTCCCCAGTAGCTGGGATTACAGGTGCCTGCCACCATGCCCAGCTATTTTTGTTTTGTTTTGTTTTGTTTTGTTTTTTAGTAGAAACGGGGTTTCACCATGCTGGCCAGGCTGATCTCGAATTCCTGACCTCTGATGATCCACCTGCCTCGGCCTCCCAAAGTGCCAGGATGAAAGGAGTGAGCCACCAGGCCCGGCCGAGACACTGTTTTAAATTTTATTGCAGAAAGGCTGGCCGTGGTGGCTCATGCCTGTAATCCTAGCACTTTGGGAGGCTGACGACGCCAGACTGCTTGAACTCAGGAGTTCGAGATCAGCCTAGGCAACATGGTGAAACCCCATCTCTACCAAAAAGACAAAAAATTAGCCAAGTGTGGTAGCATACACCTGTAGTGCCAGCTATTAGGGAGGCTGAGGCATGAGAATCACTTGAACCGGGAGGCAGAGTTTGCAGTGAGCCGAGATCGCGCCACTGCACTCCAGCCTGGGCAACAGAATGAGACTCTGTCTCAAAAAATATATATATAAAATAAAATAAATTGTATCGCAGAAAACTACAAACACATGCAAAAGAAAATCGTCATAACTCCTGTGGCATTCATCACCCAGCTTCAACCATTACTAACAATTGCCACTTGTGTTTCACCTGTCCTTGAATTTTTTTTCACGGAGAATTTACAAAGTGAATACCAGACATAGGGGCAATTTACTGTAAATACTTCCGTTTGCATCTCTAAAGGTTAGGACATTTTACCCACCAGCCGTTACTGCTCCCTACCAAAAGTATCGATAACTCCCAGTTTTCATCTAATACCCGGTTTATATTCCAATTTCCCCCACCTATCTCTCAAATGCCTCGTTTAAGCTGGTTTGTTGTGTCATGATCCAAATAAGTTCCACGCATTCAATTCAATGGCATCTTTTAAGCTCGTTTATTCTCTAATAGTTCAGTTCCACTTTCTTTTTTTTCCTCCAGGCTCCAATTAATTATATTATCATCATAATTATACTATTATCTTAATTACTGGTATTAATTGACAAGGTCATTTGTCCTGTACAACATCCCACATTTGGGGTTTATTTTTTTGCGTCTTTCTGCAAGGGGCATATTACCTGGCAAACAGTAGGTGTTAATCAGCATGGGTTGAATGGTTTCAATGGGAGAAAAGCAAAAGAATAAAAGTTTGGTCCTTTACTCAAATGGTCCTACTTTCACTAATGTAACAAGCAGGCAACACACCACTTGAGAAGCCACCAACTCGCGCCCTGGGATCCTGGGGAGGGCATGGGCTCTAAGTCTGGGATCCTGGGGAGAGCATGGGCTCCCCCGCGGGATCCCGGGAAGGGCACAGGATCGAGCCCTGGGATCCCGGGGAGGGCAGGGACTCTTAAGTCTGGGATCCTGGGGAGGGCACGGGCTCCAGTCCTCAGATCTTGGCAGTCAGAACTGCACTCCAGGCCACGCTGTGCTGAAGCGGGAGCCAGGCCCTATCTCCCACGGGAATCCCGCTTGGGGGCCGGCACCGGGACCATGAGAACACGCCGCCCCTGCTCTTCCAGCACCTCTGCTCTTGGGGGTATGCGCTACAGCAGCACGGACCTCGGTCAGGTTATGAAGACGTGTGCATTTATGAGCTTTAGTTGTGCCCCAATGTTTTCTATACGCTGTTCTTAGTCTGTTTTTCGTGTTTTGAGAAAACTGAAGATAACAGAAAGGTACAAAACACACGCCCATATGCCCATCATCCAGCATCAAAACCGCCAACATTTTGTCCCATTTGCTTCCTGGGTTTTGTTTCCCGTTTCACCAGAACTCACTGGTTGAGACGGAGACCCCAGCGCCTTCTCCTCTCCGCCTCGGGCGCCCGGAGAAGCAGGGTCGGGGTGGGGGCGCCTTCCCAAGCGGTTGCCTCCGCGGTTATTTCTCAAGCACCTGCGCCGCCGTTTGGGTGGCGCTCGCGCCGAGGCTTCAGTTTCATTTAGCAAACATGGAGTGCTCCGCGCCGATCTGGAGCCAGGGTGTGAGGGTGAACAGTGCTCCCCACGCTCGTTCCCAGAGCAAAGGGAGGCCCGGAGTGTCAGCGCACTGGCGGGTGCAGGCCGGGAAACGGGAAACTGGCACTGGGCTCCTACCCAAACCCCGGCTCCGAAGCCCCTGCCGGCTCGCAACGCGCACGCCCCAACCCGGGCTCTGGGCCCACCCCCTCACGCTGCCTCCTCATTGGCTCCTCCCGGCATCGCCACGCCTACTGGAGGCTCCTCCCAATGCTCACTTCACCTTTCACCTCTTCGCGGCCGCCGGTAAGCCTCAGGCCCCGCCCACCGAGGGGGTGGAAATACTCTTCCGTGACCCACAATTATTGGTGACTATTGCCTGTCCATAACAGGAAAAGCGGTTACGGATTGGCTGAGGCGAAGTAGTAGGGCGGAAAAGTGGGTATAGCTGCCTGCACGCACGCTTGGTGCGTGCGCGGCGACGGCGGCGGCAGGCAGTGGCAGTCATGGCGGCTCAGTGCGTGAGGCTGGCGCGGCGCAGTCTTCCGGCTTTGGCGTTGTCTCTCAGGTAAGGGGCACTTGGCCTCCCTCAGCTGAGGTGGGAGCGCGACCTCCCGCTCCGATGGGGACCTTTCCTGGCCCCGGGGCCTCCTCCCCGGCCCCGGAGCTGGGCATCCCCAGGCTCGCGGTTCCCCGCTGCGGGACGCGGATCGCCCCGCTGGGGCCTGCTCTGCGGCCAGGCTCTCCGTTCGGGGTTTTGGAGAGGCCGAGCATGGCCACCTGGGCGGGAAGGGTGGAGTGGGCGGGCGCCGTGTCAGGAGAGTACCGCAGCACTGGGGCGTCTGGCTCGGAAGGTACGGTGGTCCACGTGCGCGTGTGGTCCAGGGCCAGCGGCGACGCCTCGCGCGCGTTCACGACCTCGGCGCTCACGGGCGCAGAGGCAGCCGCAACTTGTGTGGTTGAAAAAGCGACCAAAGAAGCCCGAGACTTGTGCAAGGTCACGCAGCGAGGCCGAGCCCGGCCGGGTGTGCCCTAGGCAGGAGCTGTTACTCATTTCCGTGCGGCGGCTCGAGGCCGGGGCCACAGCGGTGATCGGGAAACTTCGTGTCGCAAGGTGCGTGTTGCCCGTTCACGGGCTTTTTCCACTCGGCCTCGAATTCCTTCACTCCACCTTCTCCAGCGTCTGAGATCAAAAGAGCAGTCGAGCCTGTGCCGCTGCTGGACGAAGAGTTTGTTGAGACAAGCGCACATTTCGGGCCTGAGGGCCACGAGAGTCAGTGCCGTTTTTTTTTTTCAAACCTGCTGCTTCTGCTTTTTAAAAGTTCTACCTCAGAAGTTAGTATGGCAAGTACTTGCTGGAGGAGCTGCCTAGAACCAAGTTATTGATTAGAGAAGCCACTGAGGGCCAAATTGGCCAAAAGCTGGGCAGTGAGAAGCGGTTTTTCCCTGAAAGAGAGCAGGTAGGTGAGGTGAAGATCACTTTCAGTCGAGGTGATTAAGGGGTAAGTGCGAGCTTAATAAATTATATCTTAAAAACATAGGAGCCAAGAGCAGCGACCCACGTGGAATACTTGAGTAAAAAGAATTTGGTAAAGTAATTGGTGGTTTTGTATTGGAATTAATTGCCAGGAAAGCGACCACCGAGTCATCATCATTTCTGTCTCTAGAATGGTAGTTCTGTGGAAAGATGCTCAACTAGGGAAAGGGAGGAGAGCTGACTGGTAGTCATAGCTCTCAGAGTAGTTACTGGGCTTTCTGAGACTCAGTTTCCCTCTGCAGAACGAGATGGCCCTGGGTGTGGGTCCTGTTGCATTCCTGGCCACACTTTGTGTTGGCTGTGCTTTGGAAAGGGGTCAGTGCAGAGCTGACCTGCAGAAAGGCTGGTGGCTGTCACACCCCCAGGCAGAACAGCTGGAGAGGGAGGTGGGCTTCACAACAGTACACTCAGTTTTTATTTAAATTCTTAGTTTTTTAAATTCACAAGAGTAAAAATATAAAATGGTCATCGCTCTCCACCCCCGTGGCAAGACTGTAAGATGCTTCCACTCCACTTCTTTCCACAGATCTGAGATAATAATAAGTACACAGGATTTCTAGTTTGTCTTTACAAAAATAGGATCCTGTTTTGTGTATTTTTCTGTAAGTTGCATTCCTTAACAGAACACCCAAAGTGTATCCAATAAATGGCAGTTTAACCCATTTTTAGGAGCTGCATAATATTCCAGATTGTGTTAGCAAGTTTATTCAACCATTTCCTCACTGGCAAATATTGTTTCCAACTTGTCGCTCTGCAGTGCTGCAATAAACAACCTTGACTGTAAGTTCTGTGTGCTGGCAGCCTTCCTATTCGTTGAAGCAGTTTTAATCTGGGAAGAAAATTGAATGTAGCTTATTCTCAGATTGGACTGGCCTAATTTAAAAAGAGGTCCTGGCCGGGTGTGGTGGCTCACACCTGTAATCCCAGCACTTTGGGAGGCTGAGGTGGGCAGATCACGAGGTCAGGAGATCATAGACCATCCTGGCTAACATGGTGAAACCCTGTCTCTACTAAAAAATAATAATAATAAAATTAGCCAGGCGTGTTGGTGGATGCCTGTAGTCCCAGCTACTCCCAGTACTGGGGTGAGAGGGGTCTCGGGCTTGTGAACGTGGGGTTGAGGCGGGCAGATCACGAGGGGAGGAGATTGAGGTCATCCTGGCTAACACGGTGAAACCCCATCTCTACTAAAAATACATACACAAAATTAGCCGGGTATGGTGGCGGGCGCCTGTAGTCCCAGCTACTCAGGAGGCTGAGGCAGGAGAATGGCGTGAACCCGGGAGGCGGAGCTTGCAGTGAGCCAAGATGGCACCACTGCACTCCAGCCTGGGCAACTGAGCGAGACTCTGTCTCAAAAAAAAAAAGGTTCTCTGGTCCTGGTGAAGAAATCTAGGTTTTAAGACTTTATTTTATCATTCGTTAATGGCTTTGTGACCTGGGCTTATCACTTGGTCTTGGTCTAGTTCACCATACGTACCCCATGCTTTCCTGTCTTCATGCCTTTGTCCAAGCAGTTTATTCTTCCTGAAGCTGCATCTATCCCGTCATTCCACCTCTGATCCCTTTTGTGTAACTCTTAGACGGAATTTTCTTCTTGTTGCCCAGACTGGAGTGCAGTGACGAGATCTCGGCTCACCGCAACCTCCGCCTCCCGGGTTCAAGCGATTCTCCTGCATCAGCCTCCCAAGTAGCTGGGATTAGGGGCATGCACCACTATGCCCGGCTAATTTTGTATTTTTAGTAGAGACGGGGTTTCTCCATGTTGGTCAGGCTGGTCTCGAACTCCTGACCTCAGGTGATCCACCTGCTTTGGCCTCCCAAAGTGCTGGGATTACAGGCGTGAGCCACCGAGCCTGTCTTAATCACTTTTAAATCCCAAATTACAGTTCTTTGTGTTTAGATACCTTCTTTTTTGCAAGATCTCTGCTGGGTCTATCTTTGTTACCAGGATCAGCAATAGGCCGGCCTCACTCTAGTAGTAGCTATTCCATAAGTAGGTGGTTAGGTCTGGGCAGACTGTCTCAGTCACCTTAGAATGGAAAGAGAAGGAGGTTAGTACTATTGTGTACCAACTACTGTAACTTGGCACATTGACATGTAAGTTTAGGCATGTGCTACAGAAGATCTTATAAAAATAAAAAAAGACAGGCACAGTGGCTCATGCCTGTAATCCCAGCACTCTGGGAGACTGAGGGGGGAGGATCACTTGAGCCCAGGAGTTCGGGGTTACAGTGAGTTATGATTGTACCACCGTACTCTAGCTTGGGTGACAGCGAGACCCTGTCTCTAAAAATACATAAGAGAGGCCAGGTGCGGGGGCTCACGCCTGTAATCCTAGCACTTTGGGAGGACAAGGCGGGCAGATCACTTAAGGTCAGGAGTACAAGACCAGCCTGGCCAACATAGTGAAACCCCATCTCTACTAAAAATACAAAAAATTAGCCGGGTGTGGTGACGAGCGACTGTAGTCCCAGCTACTCAGGCGGTTGAGGTGGGAGTATCCCTTGAACCCAAGAGACGGAGGTTGCAGTCTGGATGACAGAGCAAGACTCTCTCCAAAAAAAAAAAAAAAATATATATATATATATAGAGAGAGAGAGAGAGAGAGACAGCAACCCTGTCTCTAATATATATATATATGTTTATCTTAGATCTAATAAAGGCACACTGTATATGACTTATAGGTTTTATATTTACTATTTACTAGTATAGCTTCTATATGTCAAGTACAGTGTGCCTTTATTAGATCTAAGAGAAATGTTTTCTCCCCAAGTAATAGTAAATAGTTTGAAGCTATTTTAAGTTTCTAAAATCATACATCTGACTTTAATAAACACAAAAACAAAGTCTTCGTTTCTCATGTGTGGACTTCCCTGTAGGCCATCTCCCCGGTTGTTGTGCACAGCCACGAAACAAAAGAACAGTGGCCAGAACCTGGAAGAGGACGTGGGTCAGAGTGAACAGAAAGCAGATCCTCCTGCTACAGAGAAGACCCTCCTGGAAGAGAAGGTTAAGTTGGAGGAGCAGCTGAAGGAGACTGTGGTGAGGACTGTCAGGCTCCTGTGGGAGTGGGCTTGGCTGAACTGTTTCTCTCCTGGGCCATATAAAGGTTCCAGGCTTCATTGGTGACAGACTAAAGCCAGAGTTAAGCCGTTGTCCACGGCCTGCAGTGGGCCCAGGTGGCAAGTTACTGCCAAAGCAAAGACTAGAACCCAAATCCTATGTGGCTGTGGTTCTGGCAAGAGAATGAACTTTACATGCTATTATTTGTCATTGAATTAAAACTTAAAATCATCTTTACAAATGAGGAATGCTCAGTATGGTTGTTGAGGTTGGGACTTAGGAGAGGAAGCAGAAAATTTCAAGTACAGGAGTTGGGAGCCGGAGTATGGTTTTATGTCATGCTCTCATAGGCAGGTAAGAGGTTTGTGAACTAGGAACATGAATTCTTACTCCATGTGAAAACACATGGGTGGCACAAATCAAGTTCTTTAAGGATTTGAGAATGATGACAAACCCTGAGTGCTGGCACCATTCCAAACCCGTTACATATGTTAATCCTGGCTGCCAGGTGCGGAGCCAGGACTTGAACCAGGACCATCTAGACTTGGAGCTCTTACTCCTTGCCACTGCACAGTGATTACCTGAAGACTGAAAATGGATGCAGTCTAGAGGCCCCCACAGAGCAATTTAGTAAATGTTAAAAAGAGAAAAGCTAGCTGGGCGCAGTGGCTTACCCCTCTGATAGCACTTTGGAAGGTTGAGGCAAGAGGATTGCTTGAGCCCAGGTGTTCAAGACCAGCCTGGGCAACATAGTGAGACTCCATCTCTAAAAAAAAAAATAAAAATTAGCTGGGCGTGGTAGTGCACTCCTGTAGTCCCAGCAACCCAGGTGGCTGAGGTGGGAGAATTGCTTGAGCCCAGGAGGTTAAGGCTGCAGTGAGCCAAGATTACTCCACTCCACTCCAGCCTGGGCAGTAGCGCAATACCCTGTCTCAAAAAAAAAAAAAGAGAGAGAAAAGCTCAGATGAGTGATCTTACAGGAAGATGGTGAGACATGAGGAATATACTAGAACTCAGATGATGATTACACAAAGAGTGTTTCAACTGAGCCACCTCTGGGTAACATTGAACATAGCAAAAGATCCTGAGTGCAGCTTTTATTAAGCTTTCGTTAAGCTACCCTCCTTAGTTATATTTCAAAGGCAGTGATATTACTTCTGTTTTGACTTGCAGTTAGTTACACAGCCATTTTCCAATCAAGCTCGCTTTCCTATGACTTTGTTCCATATTAATATAAATCTCCCAGCCGGGTGTGGTGGCTCACACCTGTAATCCCAGCACTTTGGGAGGCTGAGGTGGGCAGATCACAAGGTCAGGAGATGAAAACCATCCTGGCTAACACGGTGAAACCCCGTCTTTACTAAAAATACAAAAAATTAGCCGGGCATGGTGGCGGGCACCTGTAGTCCCAGCTACTTGGGAGGCTGAGGCAGGAGAATGGCATGAACCTGGGAAGCGGAGCTTGCAGTGAGCCAAGATCACACCACTGCACTCCAACCTGGGCGACAGACAGCAAGACTCCGTCTCAAAAAAAAAATTAAAAAATATTTAAAAATATTTTTTTTTTGGCCGGGCGCGGTGGCTCAAGCCTGTAATCCCAGCACTTTGGGAGGCCAAGACGGGCGGATCACGAGGTCAGGAGATCGAGACCATCCTGGCTAACACGGTGAAACCCCGCCTCTACTAAAAAATACAAAAACTAGCCGGGCGCGGTGGCGGGCGCCTGTAGTCCCAGCTACTCGGGAGGCTGAGGCAGGAGAATGGCGGGAACCCGGGAGGCGGAGCTTGCAGTGAGCTGAGATCCGGCCACTGCACTCCAGCCTGGGCGACAGAGTGAGACTCCGTCTCAAAAAAAAAAAAAAAAAAAAAAATATTTTTTTTATTTTAGGAAAAATATAAACGAGCTTTGGCAGACACTGAGAACTTGCGGCAGAGGAGCCAGAAATTGGTGGAGGAGGCAAAATTATATGGTACGTTCAACATAACATGGTGTTGATTCTGAAAAGAAGATAATGGGGTGGGGAAGGGGAAGGCCATGCATATGGAAGTGTCAGAGAGCAAGGCTGTGGGACGGGGGGCCCAGCAGTTGCATCCCCTGCATTTTTTTTTTATGATGGCCCAACAGCAAAGGTGTCTGGAGGAGCAGAAATAAGTAGCTGAGACTAGCATGAAGAATTGTAAATAGGTGTGTCCTGCCCCACACAGAGACCTCGGTGGGAACCTGCAGCAGGTCAGCCTCTGATGCCCATCCGCTTAGCCCTCCGGAAGTAACACTGGCATCACTTCAGAACTCCCAGCGTGCTATATGCATTGCCACCTTTGGATGTTTTTGTCACTGTTCTTCCCATTTTTACAGTTGAGATCATTGCGGTTTAGTCACCTGCCCCACATCACAAAGCTGGTACATAACCCAGGCTCCCAACTCCACAGGCTGGTGTTTGAGTGCTGGCTGCGGGCCTCTGCGTGACGGACAGTGGGTATTAGAGGTGCAGAACCTAAGGCTCAGTGGAGGGTAAAAGGCTTGCCCCGGGTCAGACAGGGTGAGAGGCTACGTGGAAACTAAGAACCAGAGTCTGTGCCGCGTTCACAGAGATTGAAGCGCTCCTTGAAACACTTTTTTCCTGGATGCTGTGGCCTGTTTCTTGGTATTCTGCCTCTCTTTGTGGTAATGTGCTTTGTTGGTTCTTACCCTTTCTGACCTGTAAATGTCTGGGCTCTTGGGACTCAGTACCAGGCCTAGGTTCTCTCCCCTTGCTGTGCTCCCTGGGTGACTTACACACTCTTATGGGCTTAATGGCATCCACACACAAGTCTCAACTTCAAACTCGGATCTTCTGAGTTCCAGTCCTCTATATCTTACTGCTTACTTGACATCTGGGCTTGGATGTCTCAAGGGTATTTTCCCCCCTTTCTTCACATTTTAGTAAATTCTAAATTTAGTAAATTCTGGGTCTCATCCCACAAATAGCTTTTGAGGGTTTTGTGTTGTTGAAGTTACTGAGCTATTGGAATTCTGAGGCAACTGATTTGACAAGTTATTAAATAGCCTCCACATCAGGTCAGCAGTGCTCAGGTTGGAATTGCCCTGTGCAGTTGGTACGGAGTGCAAATGATCTTCTTTAACTTCAGGCATTCAAGCCTTCTGCAAGGACTTGTTGGAGGTGGCAGACGTTCTGGAGAAGGCAACCCAGTGTGTTCCTAAAGAAGAAATTAAAGACGATAACCCTCACCTGAAGAACCTCTATGAGGGGCTGGTCATGACTGAAGTCCAGATCCAGAAGGTGTTCACAAAGCATGGCTTGCTCAAGTTGAACCCTGTCGGAGCCAAGTTCGACCCTTATGAACATGAGGCCTTGTTCCACACGCCCGTTGAGGGGAAGGAGCCGGGCACAGTGGCCCTAGTTAGCAAAGTGGGGTACAAGCTGCATGGGCGCACTCTGAGACCCGCCCTGGTGGGGGTGGTGAAGGAAGCTTAGCTGCTATTGATGGGGTGGGTGTTTTTAAACTCACTTGCTGTAACTCTTAAGGCTGGTTCATTGTTTCTCATCTTTGAGTACATGTGACCTTTTCCCAAACCTTGTTGGAAACCTTAAGTAACCAGTGGCTAAACAGAAAATGAAGCGGGTTGCATAACTGCGTTAATGAACTGTAATTTGGGAGTCTGTTCCCTTTTAATGCCACGCATTGAATAGTTCCACATACTTAGAAGAGCTCAGCGGGGCTCTGCCAGGTCTCCTGAGCATCATGAGTAATGTGTCTGCTCAGACTCTGCTGACACCAAAGTATTTTAAACAAATAAAAGGTCTTGGGGAATTCTGTTTGGCTACCTGGACGCGCCAGTCTGCACCGTGTGTCCCTGCAGCTCACTGTGTGCGGCGCATGAGTGACTGGCATCTTTAGCCCATCACATTTCATTCGCTGAAGGAAAGGCAAGAGTTGAAACATTTTCCATAAAAAAAATGATCTTTGTGAAGAACATAGTGAGTTCGTTTGTCATCAGTCAACAGCGGCTGAAACTGACCACTGAGAAATGGGCGTGGGCACTGACAATTCTCAGCACCATTATTTGGCCAGGAATTGAGCTTGGCTTGGCGAAGGTCCTTTTACCCTGTTCTGTTCATCTAAATGCAGACATATTTAAATCATATTCAACTAGTTACTAACAACCTCAAGGTGTATTCCCTGGCAAAATGGACTTTCTCAAAATAGGACTGCACGCTTGGTGTACTTTAAATGTTAATGTTTAATTTAAAATTTTTATTTAAGAGGATTAAAGCCCTAATGTTTATTTTCCTACTTTCTGATAACAATTTTGTGTCCACTCGTGGAGATCCTTGCCACTGAGGCAAGCATGGCTTAGCCTTCCCATTCTCTGCTCCAGCCCTGAAGCTGTCAGCTTGACATGTGCGTGCGTGCACACTCACGTACACACATGCACACACTTCTGCACGGAAAGGGAGAGCCACACTCGCCCAGTGCAGCTGCAGCCTGGCATGGTAAGAATGTGAAACACCTAGGAGCCACAGCAAGGGCACAGGATTTACAAAATCGTCTTGCGAAAGGACTGTGTTCCTCATTTGCATGGTCATCTAGGGCTTAGAAAAAGGCTGAATGATTGGAGTCTCTTATGAAAAAGAAAAGAACCTTTCGCTGCCTTTGCTTCTAGAATTGAAGATACTGGTGAAAGCCATTTGCTGCCTAGAAAAGATGGGGCACAGTTTATTTCACTTCTAATTTTAAAAGATGCAGGTAATGGTCCCATAATACTTCAGCCTGGGATACCATTCCCAACATGTTCCACCTTTAAGATGCCTTCAATTAATGTGGTCAGAAACAACTAAAGGCAGCATGTATATTGGAGAAAACATGACTGGGAGCTCCAGCGCTGCCTGTGTGCACGCTGTGGGGTTGTGAGTGCATCATCACCCCTGGAGCTCCAGAGTAAAATGGAGGCTAAGAAAAGTAATTATCAACTCATTTCTGTGAATATTTGCAGTCTCCTCCCTTCTCAGCTAGAGCTGCAGTTGCTAAAAAGCACTCAACTCATAACCTAGAGGCAATATAGCTTCATATGGTAAAATATTTTTTATAGTAACCTTCAGGCATCCACAGTCATATGGTAAGTGGGGTATCATCTGAAATGCTTAGAACCAGAATTGTTTCAAACTTGGGGGTTTTGGATTTTGGAATATAGTCAAGCATGGCTTAACCACAGGGATGTGTTTCTTCCTGTGAACACCACGTGTACCTACATGTACCTAAAAACACAGGTGGTGTAGCCTACTCCACACCTAGGCTATATGGTGTAGCCTATTGCTCCTCAATTGGAAAGCAGTTACTGTACTGATACTGTAGGCATCTGTTAACACAATGGAATCTGTGTATCTGAACATAACATACTAAAGGTACAGTGAGAACAGTGTTGTAATATGTGGCCCCTCATTGACTGAAACGAGATTCTCTGCTTGACTACTTGCATTATACTTGCTAGTTAAGTGTCCCCAATCCCGAAATCCAAAATGCTCGAAATGAGCATCTCCTTTGAGTATCAGGTAGGCACTCAGAAAGTTTCCGATTTTGCAGCATTTCAGATTCAGGGATACTGAACCTGTAACAGGAAAATGTCTTTTAATTATGTATATATTTACAGTAGAAATTAGATTTGTTCAGCTACATTCTAGTTACTGGATTTAGCATAATTGCAGCATGAGTCAAGTGTGTGTGTGGACAGTCAAAACCAGAACTGGAAGTCTCAGAGGCATCTGCAAGTGGGTCTGGATTCCTGAAAGACTCAGACCCATTTGGCTTTCTCTGGCTGTACTGCTGCTTTGAGGGAGGAGAGCAACTGGCACGAAGGAGTTTCTGCTTAAGAGAAAGCAATTTTAGGTCGGGTGCAGTGGCTCACGCCTGTAATCCCAGCACGTTGGGAGGCAGAGGTGGGTGAAATCGCCTGAGGTCAGGAGTTTAACACCAGCCTGGCCAACATGGTGAAAAACCATCTCTACTAAAAATACAAAAAATTAGCTGGGCGTGGTGGTGGGTGCCTGTTAATCCCAGCTACTTGGGAGGCTGAGGCAAGAAGAATCGCTTGAATCCAGGAGGCAGAGGTTGCAGTGAGCCAAGATTGTGCCATTGAACTCCAGCCTGAACAACAAGCACGACACTCCCTCTCAAAAAAAGAAAAAAGACAAAGCAACTTTAATCTTCTGGAGGAAAAACTGGTTTGATACAAAGTACCAAACTTTGAAGTATGTCATGTAACAATCTGTATCTGTTTGAACTGTGGCTCACCCCTAGCTCTGTGTGGCTCAGAGAAGACATCTGACTTCAGAACCAGAGGTAAGAAGCAAGCGGTAACACTCTTTTGTTCTCAATGTGTTTAATATGGAAAAAGGTCATCAAAACGGTAGGCAGGGTTGCTGTTTTTAATACATTCTTGGGATGTTGGCCATTCAGACAGCATTATTTAAAATAGATGAGTTATCCAACTTTTTTGACTCAAAGATAGTTTGCTTAAAATTTTTTTTTTTTTTTTTTTTTTTTTGAGACGGAGTCTCGCTCTGTCACCAGGCTGGAGTGTAAGTGGTGCGATCTCAGCTCACTGCAACCTCTGCCTCCTGGGTTCAAGCAATTCTCCTACCTCAGCCTCCCAAGTAGCTTGGACTACAGGCGTGCACCACCACACCCAGCTAATTTTTGTATTTTTAGTAGAGACAGGATTTCACCATGTTGGCCAGGATGGTCTTGATCTCTTCACCTTGTGATCAGCTCGCCTCGGCCTCCCAAAGTGCTGGGATTACAGGTGTGAGCCACCGTGCCTGGCCTAGATTTTAACAAGGCCTAATTCCATGAGATTATGCTGGCTAATTTATCATGAGAATTAAATATAAAAATGTGGAGGCTCTGAGCTGCCAACAGAGGTAAGGACTACCATGATGGGAATAGTCGATGGGCTAAGAGGCAGCCAATCACAACATTACCATTCCCTTGTGACAAAGGGTTATTACTTTAACATAAATTAATTATACATTCATTATGGTGTTTTAAAACAGTCAAGCCTAAATAAATTCTTCATACCATCAAAAAGATATACATACTAAAAACCTGCTTAAGCACAAAGTTTTTCATTTGACAGCTCTTGGCCTGGACCATACACATTAACAGGGATCTTCTGCTGCTTCAAGCTGAATATAAGTCTGGCAATCATTTTATATAAAAATAAGATTAAATTGAAAACCTCACCAAACTAGGATCCTGGCGTTGTAGAAAATCAGGGAGACACCAGAATAGCTAAAACCCATGGTTCCCAAGCCAGCTTCCATCCAGTCACCTGGAGGGCTTGTGAAAACCGCTTGCTGCACCCCGCCGTACACCACTTTGATGCAGGAGGCCAGGTGGGGCCTGTGCATCTGCATTCTAACAGATTCCTAGGGGATGCTGCTGCTGGGCCAGGAACCCCACTTTGAGGACCACTGGGGCTAAGACAACCGTAAAAACTTAGTACCATCTCCATCACTGTTCAGTGGTAGCATCAGCTTTCTGTCATCCGCATTTATTCTGCAGGGGACAGTGTGGAGGTGGCCCTCATGATACCACTGCTCAGTACTTTGTTGTCAAAAGAGAAGTTCTGGGCTTAGCTAAAAGAGCACTTCTCTGTCAGCATGCAGTATAGTTCACAACTAAAGCCATATACAATATATTTGAAATGTTTTATTTAATGCTGAAAATTTTACCCTAAGGGACAGAAGGATGTGTAAAAAGAAAGGAAAAGGCACAGTAATTAAGTCATCCTTAGAAATGATGAGGTTTTCTTTCTTTCAAATAACTTCACTTTAATGTAACTTCAAGCCCAAACATTCTGGGAGGTAAACAGTCTCTTGGTACCTATGGGGCCCGAGAGGCAAGTCAACCTCCTTGAAGAATGGAGCGCTGGAGTCTGAGCACTCCACAGACTCTTTTTAAAGCAGGGTCTTGGACCGGAGAACCCTGAGCAGCTGGAAGACAAAAGACTTCCTCAAGTTTCCGGAGGAAGGTACCGTGGACATCCTTGAAAGAGGGCCCCAGAGAAAAACTTGTAGGCAGGGCTGTGAAGAAGCCATTTCTGAGTCTGATTCAAGACAGTGAACAGGGAGCAGCTTGAGGCTCAGGGACACCACCCCGGCTCCCTCGTGCTCAGCCAGAACCACCGCCAACCAACCGGTCAGACGGCTCTCGCCTGGCTAGTCTGAGGCCTCAGCTGGCACGGGCCTGGCGACACTCTTAAAGATGCCTAGCCAGGCGGGCATGCTCACATTTTCAGTGGAAAGGTACTTGCAACTGAAGAAAATCCTGAGGAAGCTGACGCCAGAATTCAGAACTCTCAGCCTTGAATTTTATACAATGGGTTCTTCCAAGTGAAATGCACTGCACATCTAACAGCAGCACCGAGCAGGCCCAGGAAAAGGGTTGAGAGGGCCTGGCGGTCCACACGTGTCCTACGTCCCTCCCACTAACGTGCTTTCCCATTCGTGGGGATGTGGCCACTATGGGAGCCTGCCCAAGGGGCACGGCTCTACCCAAAGTGAACCAGCAGGCTCTGGCCGTATTCGAATGAGGCGCAGGGTCAGCTGTGGGGTTTGGGAACTGCAGGCTGAAACTGCTGCCGCGGGTGAAATGGAAGGTCATCTGGTTGCTGTGTTCAACAGATTCCTCTTCAGTTCCCAACAAAATGCCAGCCTATTGTCCTCTGGCCTGATTTTCCTCATCTGCTCCAAGGCGGAGGAGTCTGGGCCCAAGCTGCCCCCATGTAAAGTGCCGCGTGCCCGGGGCTGCGCTGGGGTCAGCTGTGGGCAGCGTGGGCTCAGAAAAGGGGAGCCTGCAGGCAGCCCCGCCTGAGAAGAGCTTGCATCACCAGGAAATAGCTGGTGGCTTGTCGGTCCAGCAGGAAAACACTGCTCCTGTCACCCACAATAGCTTTTGTACCAAAGGGAAGAACACTCAAAAGGAAATTATCCAATCTCACAATAAGCTCCGAACTGAACAGGTAAAGGCAGAGCATCATCTCAGTGTACGACTTGCAGAACTAAGTTAAAATAGACACGTTTGCCTCCCCCATGATCCAATATAAGATTGTTACTATTGCTGCTTTCAGAGGACCATGAAAAGAATTTGTCTTAAAAAAAGGAACTCCATTTGTTTAAAAAAGAGCAACAATGGGGAAGCGGCTCCCCTCCACCAAGTCTTTTGGCTGGCGCGCCGTCTGAGCATCACTCTGGCTTTCAAAGCGTCTCAGCTTCAAGACGCGTCCCTGGAGATCCAGCCGCTTTCTGTGAGGAAATTCAAAATCCTTTTCTTTAGGACTTTGTCCAGGTAGCTAGGAAGGCGGCTTTTCGAGGGGATTCCTTGCCGCTTCTGGAGGTGGTCTTTAATTATAATAGTCTTCACAGTCACGTAGCGGGCCGGACTCAAGTTTAAAGAGCTGCAGAGCACCTTCTCGCGATCCGACAGGAGCTCGAAGCCCGGAAGGTTCTCAATGGCGGCGAACTCGCCGTCTTTGCCGTCCTCCTTTCCCCGTTTGGAGCCCGCTAGGTTTTTGTTCTCCTTCCTCTTCTCCCGTTTATGCCGCGCTGCCTCGTACTCTGCCGACTCTTCCATCTTGGTGATCCCGTTTCGCCGGTACCGCTGCAGTTCTCGGATCTTGGCCCGGAGCATTTTTTCTTTGTGCATGTTTTCAAAAAGGTCATCAAACTCCTTGCATGACATGAACTGGTACAGCGGCCTCAGCTTCAGGCGCAGCTCCTTCTCCTCCTTGGTGATCTTGCGCTTCAGCGCCTTTTCCTTCTCCTTCTTGTCCTTCCCCAGGAAGGCTGGCACTAGATTGTAGTCACGGGCGATGTTCTTCCGCCGCTGTCTCTCTTTCAGCTTCCGCACGTACATGTCCACGTGGGCGCGCTTCAGCTCGATCTCCACGTCGTCGTCGTCATAGTTAACAGAGAGCCCGCTAATGAGCGTCTCGGCATCCTGGTCATATTCGATCTCGTAGTCGTCCCGCAGCGGCATGTAGCCCAGCTGCTGCTGCTCGGCCACGGAGATGTCCAGTGGCGGCAGCGGGGTGGTGAGGCTGGGTGAGAGGGGGCCTCCGCTGGGACAGGTGTGGTCTGTCACACGGTTGGGGATGGTGTCAGGGATGCAGGCCTTCCCCAGGTTCCCGTGGATGTACATGCTCACGTAATGCTCCATCACCTCTTGGGGAGTCCGGGAAGCACCGACGTGTGCAGCCATATCTTCCTACGATGACAAAGGGCAGAGGTTACTCCCAGCGTCAGGGTGTCAGATTTAGGTTCTGCACAGATTCTCTTCACGTTTTTACAAAGGTTGACCTAGAGTACTTCCTACAGCACCGTTACCCACCCTCCCCAAAGGCATTTGGTCACACACACTCTCATGAGCTGGGCTCAGGGGAGAGATGACAATGTTGGAAGCAACACACGTTGTTTCTATACATGAAGAAGTGAAGACCCAGAGAGGCACAAGCTGGCACAAGGTCTTGGGGTGAGCTGGTGGCAGAGCTGAGGCCAGAACCCCTGGCTGAGGTCTGGACTTTGTTCTCATTCCCCACCTGGGACCAGAGGAGCACACCTGGTGCTGCCATTTTGTACCGCAGTAAACCCTGGACTCAGGGGCTGTGGATCTGAATGTCCCAGGACACAGCTGGGCAGGCCAGGGAATGCTGAACTCGCCTCATTCAGACTAGAAAACGGGCTTGTCCCAGGGTGTGAGGCCAGGCCAAGTCCATGGCACTGCAGGAGGGGACCCAGTTCTACCATGTTGCCGCCTCCTGGAATAGAAAGGGCCAGGACACTTCTGTGACACTTGTCCTGGCCGCACACCCATCCTGGCCTTCATGCCCGGGGGGCTGGCGTGGCCCTTTCCTAGGCAGTGACTGTGGATGATGGGCCTGTGGCTCCTCAAGGGAGCAGGCCTTCATTTCTAGCACCTTCCACGGTTAGCAGCTGGCTGGGAGTCTGCCACCAGCTGAAAGCATTCATCATTCCTACAAGAGGGTAACCCATAAATATAAGGTTTAATGGGAGGAAACTGTGTAACTCCCTCAATCTTTTCCTTCTGCCGAGAGGCCTCTTCCTCAAAGTCAACCGCTAAAGCCACTTCAGAAAGTAACTGCCCAAAATGCGCACTCATTCCCTGGCCACCGCCTCTCAGCCACCCAGCCCCCACCTGCCTCTGCCCGCCTGGGTGTGGAACCAGCGCTGTAGCGCTGCCTGCAGCACAGCCAGAGGCCCAGCTGGAACCGGAGGGACCCGCGCCCCACCAGGCTGATGACTATGAGCTGGAGTCAGGGAGAGAAGTGCTCTGGGCTCCAGGAACGGACCCCACAGCTGGGGCTTCCTCTGGCACACGTGCCTGGAGACCTCCCCCTGCCACCTTGGGGCCAGGAATGCCCAGGACTGTGACTACAGAAGGCAATGCCAAAACTCAACGGTGGGGCCTCTTTGAGACTCATAAAGTAAAACTATTCGAGCTAAATGTTGATTGTGCTCTTAGAGGGCACTGACTGCTTCTTTTAGAAACATCACTGTTTGCAGCAAATCTGTTCATTTTCTTTCCCCAGGAGGCATGTGGCCTAAAACAAAACACAAAACCAAGTCACAACTATCTCCAGCACCTGCTGCCACTCTGTGGGACCCAGGCTGGTCACTGCCCATCTCTGAGCTCCAGGTGTGTCACTGCCAAAAGAGGGGACATGTGCAGCCCCACGCACCTCACATGGGTGAGAAAAGGCTTCGGGGCCAGAGTGGGCCCCACGTGGCGAGCGCGAGTCCCCTCTCATGGAGCAGCTGGGGCAGAGGCCACTGGGAGCTCGTGCTCTTCCCCCACAACCTTGGGGCCAGGGAGCCCCAGGATCCGCAGTGGCCTCTGAAACAGGTAACTACCAGTCGTGTCCACCTAATGGAAAAGCAGTCCCTAACGCCCGCCCTTTAGGAAGGAAAGGGTCCTGTTGGGTGGAAACCCTGGGTGAACATCCTGGGGTGCCTGTAGGGTGGGAATTTCCATCCCAACGCCTCACGTCTGTGCTTCCACCCCCCCAGGCAGGCAGCAGGGGCAGAGCCAACCTTGGCCTGTGCAGCTTCTCCAGCCCTCGGCACCAGCTCCTGTCCGAGGCTGCGGAGGGGCTGCTGCGTACACAGCCAAGTCAAGACGCCAGTTTCCAGGAGGCTCCGATGGCTGCTGCACCAGGTTCCCAGGCACATGAGGCTGGGTGTCCCCTTGCCCCAGAGGCTCTGTGGTGCCGGGCTGCTTACCCAAGGTCACAAGGTGAGCCAGTGGGGCCCCCTGGCATTGGCCCTGGTCTCTCCAGCCAGTGAGACCAGCAGGAAGAGGCCTGCAGACTTCTCACTTGCAGAGATGTTTGTAAAATATCTTACTTACTTGGCAAATTTTCAAGTTAGCAACACTAGGTCAGCCTCCAAAATCCTTCAGAAATCTGGAAGTCTGGGAGCACGAACCCATCAGCGTCAGCCGGACTCCTGAGTGTGCCCCGCAGGGTCTACGGCTGTCCCTGGCTCCTGCCTCCCACCTCTCAGGAGCTTCCCAGCACCCAGCCAGACATTGCAGGCCTGGCAGCGCCCACCCTGCTGGAGGTGCCCTTTGCTCCTCATGCCCAGACTCAGGGCCGGGGCCCACCTGGTAGGGCGGTGAGGAGGCAGGTGCGGCCACAGCGTGTGCTCCATCTCAGCAGCTTTCCCCAGCACTGGATGCTGTCAGCTTCCCTCCCACAACTTCCCTTTATCCCTCAAGACCAGGCCGCCAGGTCCAGGAAGGCTTCAGTGACCCCCAGGGCCAGGCTCAACTGTTCCATCGCTTGCGATCCCTCTCAGCTTGTTTCCTGACCTGCCATCCCTCCTTTTGCGGGTTTTACCAATACAATTCAAAACAACAACAGATAACTACATCTACGCCCATCATCCCACTCAGTCCTGCGTTTCCCACAGAGGAGAAGTGTTGTTACTGCCCTATGGTTTTCAGATAAGGAAAGTAAACCTGAGGGTGAGCCCCCGCCAAGGGCACGAGGCCAGTGAACGCTGAGCCACTTCAACACCAGGCAAGGTGGCTGGGAGCATACACCCGTCACCACGCGCCCCCCACCATCCCGAAATGCAGCACACACCACAAGGGGCTCCTAGCCGCTTCCTGATGTTGTGGTAAGAGGCAGAGCAAAGCCGGACCACTGGGCTTCTGCTCTTCTTTCTGGAACAAGCATGCTGGAGAGGTGCCACAGCTCAGGCTGACCCTGCCCCCGTGATGTGCAGTGAAGCTCAGGCCTTTGCACCAGGCGTCGTGCCCGAGGCTGCCAGCCCTGCAGGCTCTGGAGCATCTCCTGTCCCAGGCGATGCTGCGAAGCCCTGTGGCCCTGCTGTCCCTCGGTGGCCCCACTGCTGTCCTTTCCTCACCCCCATCTGGTCTGTGAAGGACGAGGCAGAGGACAGCTCATCCCGGCCCCAGGCTGGGCTTCCCCCGGTGGTTTGGGGCCAGGCGTCATCTCCAAAGGGAGGCGCAGCTCCAGCTCCTTTTGCTCCAAATGAAGAAGCTCAAAAAGCCAGGAAGGCTCAGTTCCCCAGGGAGCTGGGTGTAAGGGAGCGGGTCCCACCAGGGAAGGGCATTCTGTGGGCAGAGCTCTTAAGGAGCAGCTGGGTACACTGGTGGCCCCTGCAGGGCCAGGAGGAAATGGAATCCGTGGGACAGGGGACTGAACCATGTCCTAAAGGACAGGAGGGAACAGAGCACGGTAAGAAACACACCAGCCACAGGCCGCAGGTGGCAGCGCAGGAGGGCTCCAAGCCAAGCCCATGCATGCATTTCCCATCTGCACAAGTCAGAGAGCCCTGACATGTCACCTGCCTGGCCATTCCACAGAAGCGTGCAGACATGGGAGGGCCCTACCTGCCACCCAGGCCATCAGCCCCTCTTAGGAGCTCCATGCCCCACGGGCTCCAGGCTGACTAGGCTGTCCTCATCACCTGCCACAGCAAAGTCACTCCAGCACCTCCAGTCTCAGCTCAGCCTCAGACACTGGCCCGACGACTAGGGCCACCTGCAGCTGGCGGCAGGACAGAGCGGCCGGGCAAAGGTAGGCGTGGATGCCAACAGCCCTTGGGGCTGGCACACCAACTCAGTCACAGCCATGTGGTGGCCCCTGGCTCCTCCCTCTTCTAGCCTTGTCTATCACATTTAGAGAGATGACTTGAGGACACCGGGTCCCCCTGTCTCTTCCCCTTCCCTCCTCCCTGCTCCAGCAGCTCAACTCTCAGCACAAGCATCCCTCTGATGCCGGAGGCGGGGGACTCACTGGCTTTGCAGCCTGTGCTTCCAGGTGTCAGACCTTTCGGAGACCCCACTGTCCCTGGCCACCGCCCCCAGCCTGTTGCAGCGGGAAGCCCTGTGAGCCTCAGTTCTAGGCCTCTCTGAACTCAGAGACCTCAGTGACTTAGAGTTGTCTTTGGCCCTCAAGGTGACTGACACCTTCAGGTCAGATAAGGCGACCTGTGACAGAGATTTCGAAAGTGGCATTCCTCACTGTGGAAAACAGCAGGGTGGTTCCTCAAAGAGCACACACGAGGCCAGGCGTGGGGGCTTAGCACTTTGGGGGGCTGAGGCAGGAGGATCACTTGAGCCCAGAAGTTCATGACCAGCCTGAAAAACATGGCAAGACCCTGTCTCTACAAATAATTTAAAAATTAGGCGGGTGTGGTGATACATGACTGTAGTCCCAGCTACTTGAGAGGCTGAGGTAGGAGGATCGCTTGAGCCCAGGAGATGGAGGCTACAGTGAGCCATGATTGTGCCACTGCACTCCAGCCTGGGTGATAGAGCGAAACCCTAAAAAAAAAAAAAAAAATTACACACAGAACCTAATCTAGCAATTCCACTTTTATTTACCCAGAAGAACTGAGAGCAGGATCTTGAAGAGATCCCTGAACACCATGTTCATAGCAGCCTTATTCACATTCGCCAAGAGGTGGAGGCAACCGAATGTCCATCACAGATACGTAGATAAACACAATATGCCACAGAGTTGACAATGGATTGTTCAGCCATGAGAGCAAGGCCGTGCCAATACATGCCACAACACAGATGATCCTTGAGGACATGATGCAAAGTGAAATATGCCAGTCGGAAAAGGACAAATCCTGCAGGATCCACTTATGTGAGGTCCCTAGTGCCACAGGCGGGAAGTAGAATGGGGGTGCCAGGGGCTGGGGAAGGGGGAGGGGGAGTGAGTGTTGAATGGGGACAGAGTTTGAGTCTGGCAAGATGAGAAAGTTCTGGAGGTGGCTGGTGGTGATGGCTGCACAACACTGTGAGTGGACTTAATGCTTCCAGACCTGAACACTTAAAAAGGGTTAAAATGGTAAATTTTATGTTACACATATTGTACCACAATAAAAATCAATATATTTTTAAATAATTTTGAAGTTTTATAAAGTGACATGTCTTACCACTCTACCCCAGTGGTTCTTAAAGTGAGGTCCCACAGTGGCCGCATCAGCAGCACGAGGTTGTTAGAAATGCAGATTCTAAGCCCCACCCCTGACTCAGCAGCTTGGGAGGTGGGGGTGACTCATGTGAGCCAGGCCTCCTGGGTGTCCCGCTGCGGGCTGGAGTTGGAGACCCCCTCTGCGCGCCCTGCCCCTCCCAGCCACTCTCCCATCCCGGCTCTCCCTCCCGCTCCCGCCATCCTTAATGGCGATCCCTGGAACCCCAGCAGGACGCTCAGGCTGGGGCTGACGCACAGTGGAGCCTTCTGCCCTGTAGGAGAAGGTAAGGTCCCCCTTCCCATGGTTCCCAACCCCACCTCACAGCTCCCTGGGGTTCTTTTCATCCATCCAAATTTCTAGACCTCGGCCTCAGAGGTGACAATCCCGCAGATCTAGGGGGATCCCTGGGAATCCTAGTGGATCCTGCAGCACGGCTGGTGAACAATGAAACGGATGGTTCTAGGCATGCAGTCAGAAGCCTTGGGTTGAAATTCCATGTTCCCACATCACCCACAGTTGTTTCCTCGTTTGTAAAAGCGGGGAGCACCTGTCTTGGGGATTAGGGGACGGGGAGATGGTGAGGGGTGCGTGTCAAAGCACCTGCTCAGGGCCTGGCACTGGCAAGCAGCCACTGGGTGATCACAGAGCCTGAGCCGGCTTCAAACCCCAGTAACGCTCTCGCACTCGGCACCCAGGGCTTTTCACCAGCTTCCTCCATCACCCCAAGCTGGCTTTTGCCTGGCCCTGAATACACCAGACTCTTAAAACACAAAACCCTTCCTTCAACCACACTCTCCTCTAACTGCACAGCCATCTTATGTCCTTCCCTCCGCAGGACATCCTGAGGCCCACTTGCCCACACAGCACCTGCCGGGTGAGGCAGCCGTCTTCCTCCTAGCCTGTTCTCACCACAGGGGCTGGTCTGTACCAGGCCCCGAGGCAGTGCTAACTGAATGAATGAGTGAGAGAATGAATGCACGCACAAGGCAGTGATCATCCATGTGTCTGGCCTTCTCCCGCCTCCTGGGTGTCCATCATCATCTCAAAGGGTGCAGCTCTACTCAGGACACCCCACCTGGCTCCAGGAAGGAGCCTGAGTGTTGACGTGTGTGCACGAGGCCTTCCATGGTTCACAGAGAACTTCACACACTCATCTGATTCAAAACCACAAGGGCCAGCTTGAACCCCACTTCGCCACCAAAGCCCTCCTGACCACCACCTGCAGAGGTGCACTGGCCCTCCTCAAGCTCCTCAGTGTCAGTCCAATTTCTTTGGCAACCAATCAACAGCTTCAGCTCCTCTGCCATAGCTGCAACTTGCCCTCAGCTGTCACCTGTGTTTGTGTCTGTGTTCCTGTGCTCCAGCAGGGCCTGCATCCTCTAACTCTTGGAATCCTGCACAGAACCATCTAGAGACGCCAAACCCCGCTGATCTGACTCTGGGTCACTGCTTGCCAACTCTTTCCCATTGTCGCCAAGGTCCTTTAACCTGTTCTCTCTGCCCCTCACTATGAAACACACACGGCAGCACACAGGTTGTCCCTAAGCCCCCAGCTGTCACTGTAAACCCTGCTCAGCTACATCCTGTCCCCTTCAGGCCCCATCCCCCAGCCCTGGTACAAAGTGTGACCACAAAGCTGCCTGGTTTGGCCACAACCCACCCTCTCCCATGAATCCCACATGCAGTAGTACAACCCCCAGGCCAGGTGTCACCAATTGACATCTGAAAGTAGAACTCAACAAGTCTCAACTTTCTTTACATCACTGTCCCCAGCCCCCACACCATCTCCTTCCACACTCACAGTCGCGGCCTAGGAGCCCAGGCCCTGCCCCCACACTAATCTTCAGTGAATCAGGTCAAGCCCTTCCACTCCATCCACTCCTGCGGTGGCACCGACGGCCTCCCAGCCTGTGACCCACATTGCCTAATGCTCTCACCCATGGGTTAGGGCCCAGGCTTTGGAATCACACAGGCCGGCATTCATTCGTGGCTCTATCACATGAATGCCATGGAATCCCTGACAAGGCGCTTAGTTTCTTAGAGCTGCTGTTCTTCAACTGTAAGAATAAGAACCCAACCCCCAGGGCTGCTAGGAAGATCCCACAAGACACGTATGGGAAGAGCCTGGCCCAGAGCGGACAGAGGCAGTGGGACACGCCAGCTCTGTGCACATAGCTGGATACATGCTCAGAAGAGACCGCCCATCTCAGAGCTGCAGAACAGCCTCAGAGGAAGAAAAATAAAGTCCCAGGGGTTAGCACAACGAGGCTCTGCCAGGGAGATGGCAGCATGACTGAATACTGGTACCTCACCACTCCGGGGGAGGGGGCGGGGGTCACGGGTCAGCGCACCCCCTGCGCCCTGGCTGCAATGCAGGCTCTCAGGCCTCGCCGTGGCCTGGCGCTGGTGCCGTGGGAGAACGCCCTGACCGCAGCCTGGCCAGGCCCCCTGTGCACCAAGCCCAAGCCCAAGCCCCATGCCCTTCCTCTCCTGGCTCTGTCTCCTCTAACAGCTGAGTCAGAATCTGCATTTTCACCAGCTCCCCAGGTGGTCTGTGTGCACATTAGTTCGGAAAGTATTGTTTTAGAAGACAGGCCTCTCCACTTCTAGCCTGGTTTCTTCCAAAACCAAATAAATGTTTTTGTTCCCCAGGTATTGTGTTCTGTGTATTTTCCACAGTGCCGCAGGGAAGGCAGTGCAGACAGTGTAGTTAAGAGTACAGGCTCTGAAGTCAAACTGGTCCATCCAAAGCCAACTGCCAAGGGCTGTCGGGAAAATGTCCTGAGATACGCGCAGATATGCCAGCAAGGCTCTGCGCCTCCTTAGCTGCTAACATAGAGATAATTGCTGGGATGGTGAAGGGAAGAGCCCTTTGAGGCACTGATATGTAAGTGGAAAGATCGATCCTGGGCCATGATTTTGGGGGAGAGCACTCTAGGTAGAAGAAATATAAAATGATCAAGGGAGGTAACAGATGAGATCTCATTGCTCAACACTTCTAAGGCAGCCTTAACTGAAGTAAAAGCCACTGAGGCCGGTGTGAGGCGCTCTGTGCTTCCAAAGCTCGCTCTGGTTATGGTGTGTGGAATGGGGGAATAGGGTGCAGGGGGAATAACGAACAAGGAGGCTCCCAAAGTGGTCAAGGCAAGAAGTAAACATCAGCCGGGACTACGGCTGTAAGAAGTAGTTTGTTCTGGATGTACTGTGAGGAGACAGCTGATAAACTGGATCAGGAACTTAGTGGAACAAGGAACTAAGGAGTAAGTCAAGAGGACACTGAGAGGCAGATAGGACAGGGAGGTGGCTGGACATGGATGGCTGTTGCTAGGGAGGAGCTCTGGGCCCAGGACCAAGTCAGTACCACACTTTAAGCTCCCTGAATGGAGGGATAAAGGCTTCTCTTTCCTTCAGAGTCCTCCGCCACTGTAGAATCTGCACGGAACACAAGCTCAGTGCATATCCACAAACAGCATGGAAGGACAAGACGGGCCAGAGTTTCTGAAAAATGGCGATCCCAATGCTGGTGGCCATTAGGTAAGGATTTGTAAAGGACCATCTTCTCTAAGGAGCTGGGAGGAGAATCAAGATTCCAGGGCTTCAGAATGGGTATATGAGGCGGTCCTGAGACTCTTTCAGGAAAGGAAAGCAAAAGGCAATCAAAGCAGCCCAGGCAGGACTGCTGGAGACGTGGCAGCAGATGGACGCTGTTCCGAGAAGCAGGCACCTGGTGTAGCAGGGGAAGACTCTGCAAAGCTAAGGGCGCTGGGGTGTCTCACTCCCCTCCTTCTCAGGGTGCCTGGGGATGGCCACATGCCTTTGGTGGTTATGAGTGGGAATACGGCTAGAGATTTTCTCCTTTCTAACACGGATGCAAGCTTCCAGAATGAAAGGAGAGCTGAGAAACCGCCCAGAGAGAACAACCATGTTCCTCTCTCAAGGACAGAACCTAGCACACGATGTTGCTAGCGTAAGTGGATCCAGTCCAGCTCTCACCGCTCCCCACACAGAGCTGTCTCTACAAAAACCTCAAACGTAAAGAGAGCAAAACCCAAGCCCCAGGCCTCCCAGGCCAGGCCTCTTTGTTCATTCTTTACTGACCACTCGCACAATGTCGTGGGTTGTGGAGACCCAAGCATTAACCAGGCACGCTACCCACAAAGAATCTGTGCACTGGCACACCACACAGGGCACATGCATACAATGACAGAAAGCAAACGGGGCCGCCCCAGAGACCCCGAGACAAGCCGCAGGGCGCCCACCGTTCTCCCTCCCTGGTGCTCCCACCGCTTTCTGTCGAGTCTGTGGGCCTGCCTGACTCCACGAACTCAGGTAAGGCACCGCGTCTCGCCCAACGTCTGCACTCCGCAAACGCCTGTGAAGGTGTCCCTGAAGGTGAGGGAAATGGCTCTGCTGTCAGAAACCAGCGTTCAAAGCCCCACTTGGCCCCGTCTCGGCTAGGTGACCTTGGGGGCGTCACAGCCTCTCTGAGCATAGGTTCCGACAGGTGCCCGACTATAAACCGGCAGCGTCGCCCTCCCCACCTCCGGGGCCTTCCGGGGTGCCGAGCGGAGCGAGCAGGTCCAGTGCTGCCTGCGCGCCCGATACATGAGAGGCGCGGGCCTTCCTGTGCCCTAGCCGGGACCCGGCCCCTGTCGCGCTGCTCACCCAGTTTCCGAAGCCGAACTGCTCGATGGCGTCCAGCAGCAGCTGCTCCTCGCGACTGGTCCAGCCGCCCTCGGCCTCGGGCCCCCAGAGCGTGAAGCGCCCGCCGTCCACCAGCTGGTAGCCGTGGTAGCGGCGGTGGTGGCCGATCTCGGCGCCGGCCGAAAAGCACTCGGGGCACAGCTCGATGTCCTGGCACTCGGTGCAGCGGAAGCGCAGCGGGCTCACCTCGGCCAAGCAGTACACGCAGTACTTCTTCCCCAGCTCCGCCATCTTCCCCCGCTCGCCGCCCGCCGCCCGGCCCGCCGCAGCCGCCGCGCCCCCGGCCGTCAGCGCCCCGCCGCCCGCGGGACCCGCCGCCGCCGCCGCGCACAAGCAACCGCCGCCCGTCGCCGCGGCTGCCGCCACCGCGGCCCCAGCCCAGCAGCCGCCGGAGCCAGCCAGCCGGGCCGCGTCCCGCCTCAGTACGCAGGCGCCGTCCGGCCCGGCCCGGCAGCCGCCGCCGCGGCCGCTGTCGCCCCGCCGCATCGCGCAGGCGCCCCGCGGGCGCCACCTTGCGGACGCCCGGCCCACCGCTCTGCGCCTGCGCGCACCCCGCGCCGGCCGCAGCCGCCTTTCCCAGAGCCTCCTGAACGCCCCGCCCCAGGCCCAGCGGTGGGAAATGGGCAGGCAGAAAGCCCGGCGGGGACGCCACGCCCCTCGCGGCGAGAGCCCACGGCCGCTTCCAATCAATCTCGCCTATCGCCAGCTCGCGGCCTCCCATTGGCTTGCTCTCCGGGGAGAAGAGGCTGGACGACGGCCTGTCGCCTGGCCAATCGCCGGGCCCAGCGCGCGCGCCCTCGGTTGCCCCGGGAAACCTAACAGCACGCTGCCGGGGTCCGCTGCGCTGGCAGAGCCGGGCGGAGATGGAGGGCGGGTCTGAGCACACTAAGGACCCCGGCGGGGAAGGCGGAGACGGGGAAAGCCTGGCCGCGCGGCCGTCCAAGATCAAGGCCAGCTCTGGCCCTCCGACCCCTCCCGAACCCGGGGAGCTGGAGTCGGAGCCAGAGGAGGAGGAGGAGGAGGAGGAGGAGGAGGAAGAGGAGGCTTCGCAGGGAGGCACAGCCGCGGACGAGCAGGCCAAGACCCCGAAAGAGCTAACGGCAGCCGAGGCTGCGGGCGAGGAGGGGCCTGGAGAGCCGGGGAGGCCGGCCAAGCCCCAGCCCGAACCCGAAGAGCCGGCCGAGGCCGGGGCTGAGGAGCCCGTCCAGCCGAAGTCCGGAGCCGGGCCCGAGGAACTAGATGCGGAGGCGAGGGCGGAGGAGCTGGAGCAGGCGGCGGAGGGCAAGGAAGTCCGGTCCCAGGCCTCTCTGCCGCTGACCAGGATCGGCGAGGAAGAGGCTGCTGCAGCCCCGGAGGCCGAGACAGAGCGGGTGGAGGGGGAGGAGGACGACGAGGAGGAGACACGGAGAGACGGCGCGGAGAGCGAGGGGAGGGCTGGGGAAGGACGCCCGGCCAAAAGCCAGGAAGAGGGGAAGCCCCTCGGTGGAAGGGACGAGTTTGAGGACCTGGAGTGGTCCGAGGAGGTCCAGAAGCTACAGGAGCAGCAGCTGCGCAGCGACCTCCTGGACCAGTACCGTTCCCTGCTGATGGAGCGGAACCGCTCCCAGCGCTACAACCTGTACCTGCAGCACAAGATCTTCGAGGCGCTGCGCAAAAAGAAGGGCCTGGAGGCGGCGGAGGTGCCTGACCGGGGCGCAGAAGCAGAGGCCCCCGAGAAAGAGCAAGCGTACCTGCGCCATCTGGGCATGCTGGAGGACCTGAAGAAGCAGCAGGCAGACGACCTGCAGTGGTACCACCAGGAGCTGGGCCAGTTGAAGCAGCAGTGCCAGGAGAAGCTCTCAAGAGTGGAGAAGGAGTGGCGGCGCTTCCAGGCACTCAAGAAGCAGGTGGTGATGCAGGCCATGGGCAGCTGTCGGATGAGGGGCGGGCGCCAGGCTGCTCTGCGAGAGGTGGAGCAGATCCTGGCGTTGGAGGATAAAAAGGAGAAGGAGATGAGCGCCGTGCGGCTGGAGAACGTGCAGCTGAAGCAGAGCCTGGTGCATTTTGAAACCAGGATGAGGACCCAGGAGGACCTGACCCAGGGTCTGCTTCTTATTGACTTTGAACAGCTGAAGATTGAGAACCAGACCTTCAATGAGAAAATTGAGGAACGAAATGAGGAACTTTTAAAACTTCGCAACAAGGTGACCAACAGTGTGCAAGTAATAACCCACATGAAGGAAAAGCTGCACTTCATGGACACGGAGAACGCGTGCAAAAAGACACAGCTGGCAGAAATCGAGGCCCAGGTCGCCCAGGGAAGAGACATCCTGACCAAGACGAAGCAAGCCCGAGAGGGGCTGCGGACAGACAACATCAGGCTGAATCAGAAGTGCGGGCTTCTAGGCAACGACTCACTTCTTCGGGACTTGGAAGAAAAAGTGGACAAGACCCAACTGCTCCACCAGCGCCTGGAATCCCTGAAGCGCCACCACGCTGGGCTCACTTTGTCCTGCAGAGGCGTGAGGCAAAAGATCAGGGAGGCCAAAGCCTTTCTCCCCTCTTGACCAGATCGATGAGAAGAGTCTGCAAAACACTTCATCCTCAGGACATGCTGTCCTGCTTTATTTACCTTTGTTGCTATTCTTAAAAAGGCCTGTGTCCTTTGGGACGGGACTATATTTTGTATTTATCTCAAAACGTTTTAGCTTCCAAATCAGTGCTGAGCCCAAAACTGGGTTAGGAGTTTTATTTGGGATTGAGCAAAAATAGGTCCAGAAAAGCAAACAAAGCGTGATTTAATGTAACTGACTTCTCATGAAAAACTGTGGAAAGTCTCAAGTCTGAGCAATTCCATAATTTCAATGACTTAATACTAAGGAGTCCTGTTCCTCTTTCGTATGTAGGAGGGTTTAAAAGTTCAGTGAATGGGCAAGGTACACAAAAACCCTGTGCATTAAGCTAATTATTAAATTATTTGGATGTATTAAACTGTGTAGTCCCGAGACATTATTTCAGTTAGAAGCTCACTAATCCCCTTAGATTAATTGTAAATTGTTTTATATGTGACTAGCACGAGCTTAGGGGGCAATACATATATCTAGGAAACAGGAGAAATGATAAACAGGAGAGAAGTTGGTGTTTCCTCATCGTCCTTTTTTCAATGAAAGGGAGTTCAGTTTACTCACTGTTGATGTTTGTTTCTGCTTCAATGACAGCCTTCAATTATTATTATTATTATTTTCCTTGAGACAGGGTCTCTGTTGCCCAGGCTGGAGTGCAGTGATAGGATCTCGGCTCACTGCAACCTCCGCCTCCCAGGTTCAAGCGATTCTCCCACCTTAACCTCCCAAGTAGCAGGGATTACAGGCATGGGCCACACACCCAGCTCATTTTTGTATTTTTAGTAGAGATGAGGTTTCACCATGTTGGCCGGGCTGGTCTCGAACTCCTGGCCTCAAGTGATACACCCGCCTCGGCCTCCCAAAGTGCTGGTATTACAGGCATGAGCCACCGTGCCCAGCCTGACAGTCTTCAATTCGAATGAAACATGTTCTTGGATCCTCTGAAGAAATGCATTAATCTGCACCAAAAAATGAAATTTTGTTTTCCAGTGAAAACAAAATGACAATTGTATTGCATACTTTGCAAGGTGTAAAATATATGACACAGTGGCCGCTGGCATCACAGGAGACAGAACCTTCTGTATCAGCTGGTATTTCAGATCTCGACAACAGGACCCTTGCTATACACAAGTTCACTGAGTATCAAATAGTAAAATGCCTCTTATTCCTTGTGTTAAAAATACCTGGTAGGTCTATTTCCTTAATGCAATATCAGTGATTATCTTGGAGCTAGGGGCTTGTTTTCATTTTTTCTTAATCCTAGATTGAATTTTGAGATGTGCAGATTTGGGGTTAAACATATTCTCCCACTCCTAAACTTAAGTGAATCATAAAAAAATGCAACACGATTTTTGGTGCTGGATACCTCTGAAGAACAGTGGGAACCCTGGGCAGGGGACTTAGTCGTGAACTTTATCTGGATGCCATGATTTTGAATTTTCTTTTTTTTTTTTTTTTTTTTTTTTGAGATGGAGTCTGACTCTGTCGCCCAGGCTGGAGTGCAGTGGCGTGATCTCAGCTCACTGCCACCTCCACCTCTCGGGTTCAAGCGATTCTCTTGGCTTAGCCTCCTGAGTAGCTGGGATTACAGGTGCCCGCCACCACACCTGACTAATTTTTTGTATTTTTTAGTAGAAACGGGGTTTCACCATATTGCCAGGCTAGTCGTCTCAAACTCCTGACGTCATGATTCGGCCGCCTCGGCCTCCCAAAGTGCTGGAATTTACAGGCATGAGCCACCGTGCCTTGTCCATGATTTTGTTTTCTAAAGCCTGCTCCCTTGCAAGCCAATGAAGGTTGATTAAAATTCCTTTTCTAACTTTCATGACTCAAATACACTTTTTTATATCAAACCACTCAAAAGTAGTAATGAGTTAAATAAAAAAGCTTTAGGCCGGTTGCCATGGCTCACACCTGTAATTCCAACATGTTGGGAGGTCGAGGCAGGTGGACTACTTGAGCCCAGGAGTTTGAAACCAGCCTGAGAAACATCGCAAAACCCCGTCTCTATAAAAATACAAAAAGATTAGCCAGGTGTTGTGGCACATGCCTGTGGTCCCAGCTCCTCAGGAGGCTGAGGCTGAGGTGGGAGGATCAACTGAGCCGAGGGGGTGGAGGCTGCTGTGAGTAGTGGTCATGCCACTGTACTCCAGACTGGGTAACACAGTGAGACCCTGTCTCCAAAAGCTTTGATTTCTGCTCCCATTGTCACTCACTTACTCACTAACACTTTAGTCTTCCCTCTTGGCTTTTCTTCAAAGCCAAAGCAAATCACTGGCAAACAGAACTTCCTGTGTGCCTCAAACTAAAAGCAGGATAGGCCCACTGGGTTCTTCTGTAGTTGGGGAGGC